GGCACCTATTGTTTGACAGGTCGTTGGAATGCCTAATAGTAACCGTAAAACCAGAGATAAGGGAGATAAAGATAGGAAACGCCCATAAGAAGCCAATTAGGCATTCCAACGACCTGTCCAAATGGCTACCAGTGGGTAATGACAGTTTAGATATGGCAACCCTGTTGTCATTAACAGGGTCAATGATACATATATAGTTATATAGATTGCTCAAAACTGGTCGTTTACGAGCGGCCATATTGTCTGGTAAATATTTATTAATTTGAATCGGTTTGGCAAAAATGTGTTTTAAAACCAATTTTTAGCTTTTAGGTATTTAAAATAGTATATTATGCAACGATCATGTAATGATGGTTATTAATAAACGAGCATTAACCGGGATACGAAACGAGCCAAATGCGAGTTTCGTATGGTTTAGGCGAGTGTATTAATAACCATTACATGAGAGTTGCATACGCTATTTTTTCTACACCCGATAAATAATCAAGAACTATAAATATTATATTTATATTGGTATTGAACACAATAACAGTAATTACTCGTATTTCTATAAAAAATTCTACAAAATTGTAATTAATGGTATTACCTTGGGTATTGGTATTACCATAGATTTTTTGGGCAAATTATTGTGTACTGCATTTTCTCCTTTCTCCGATATGTGTGGAGGAGTCTTCTATATCGCTGATATCAGACATGTTGATAATATAATTATCGAAGTTTAGCTATCTACGAAAATTTAATACGTTTTGACAACTAAGACAATTACATAGGAACCTAGGACAAACGTCAAAAAGAATGCTTGATTGAAAAATTGTAGGTTTCTATTGATTAAAAATCTGTATCGTAATGAAAAATCTGTATCATAATGGGTATCATTATGAAACGGATTATGAGCATATAAGTGCATTATTATAATACGGGTGTAGAAAAAAAATAATTGCTTATATTTTTACTTTAAGGCATAAGCTTATGTTTATTTTGAAAAATATGGATGATCAATCTATGTAACTATCTATTTCATTGATCTTGTCAAATCACCAGGCCTACAGGGTTGCCATAATTTTGCCATATCATAACCTGTCAAAACCCACTGGTAGCCATTCAGTTTGGAATGCCTAATGCTAAACAACGACCAGCTTTATCGCAGTTAACATCTGACCCACTATGTGGCGCTTTCATCGATATCAAACAACACAGCGGGAAATTCAAAAACCTGATAATAAAGGTTGCATAAATATCGACTGCACTTTCATGTTCTTGTAAATAAACTTAAACAATGTAATTACGCTAAATTATTTATTAAAATGAATACTACACTTACAGTCTATTATCGATTAATTATTGTAAATATATATTCATAACAAATATTTTTAAATTTTTGATTGTTATTTGTAACACTGCATTTGTGTTCTTATTTTGGTATCTTATTTAAAAAGGTTGAGTGCAAATTCAATAATGGGAATTCAGATATTTTTCTTCCTATATCAAATCTTCTTTCTAATGTTTTCAAGCCACATTGGGGTTGTTAAATTTGTTCATGTGGCATGTGTTACTAATGCAATACGTTCTCCGACTTATTGTAATATTACAAAATATAATTAATGTCCTTAAATTTCACACAAAAAGAGCCACAACTATTTCGCTTAGTTCATCTAGAGGATAACACAATCATGAACTCAAAATTTTAAATTTAAATTCAGGATTCTTCGATATACATAAAACTGACATTTATTTTTACAAACTGTCCATGTCCACGTCTACTGTCTCTCTGTGTTGCCAACCGTACGATTTAAATCGTATTTATACGATTTTTTAACTCTGTACGATGGCGATGTACGATTGCATCAGTGAGATCGTATGTAAAAATATGATCTTCACTTTTTTAGTAGGTTTATTTAAATATCTGCAACAACTTCAGAACATAAAACAGTAAAAATCAAAAACTACTTGCAAAGATTCATAGGCCGTTCGTAATTTCTTATCGTGATTTTGACCATGGTAATTTTGTACACCGACTGTCACGGCATAAGAAAAGCTTGCATTCAAAATTTTAATCAGTTTCAAGTGATTGTCATTGATTACTTATGTTAATTTAAAGTTTCATGTATTTTCTTTAGTTTCTTTTTGCGTTGTAAACATAAATAAATTATCATGCCAGTTTTTTTTTTATTTTTTCATTCCATTTAAGTTATATTATGCTATGCATGTATTTATTGTACAATTTTTTTGTCGAAATACTATTTTTCTACTCGTACGATCTCTCAAAAAAAATATTTGACAACACTAGTCTCTCTACAAACGACGTAGATCTGTAGTTAACATCTGAGACGCTAGATGACGCCATCGTTGCTGGGGTCGTTGCGTTTCCAATCTGTATGTCCCTAATCTCTGCGTAAAACTATACCCTTATGTTCCTGCCTTTGAATGTTCCTGCGCATGCAGCTGACTGACGGTGACGTCACGTGGGACATAGAATTATTAGCATTAAATGGGAGATAGTGTTTGAAATTCGATATTTCGCCGGTTTTAGATTTTATTCAGTTACTTAAGCTTTATTGGTTATTTTGTGATATATTCGTTTACAAATATGAAGGCATAAGGTAAATAATACCATTAAAAATATAAATTTTTCTCATAAATTATAGGTATTTTGTGACAAAATCGATAACCTGGCAATAAGATAAGTAAAAGATATAGACTAAAAATACAAGTTTGACTCAAATTTGTACTTTCTGGGCGTAGTAGTTCTCTTGTGATCTCTTTTCTTATTATGTGAAATAAAAATAAGTGTGCAGAAACAAATTATTTATTTACAAAAAATAAGTACACAAAAACATTACTTTTTATTTGGTGAATATAAACATTTTTTGTAAAGTTTACTTAAAAAATACTCAAAACCAATTTTCCTATTCATTTATCTTATTCTTATATATGTTCGTGTCCTGCTCATGCATGGCAATACTTCAAAAGGACCGTTGTATTGGAACAGGACTCTATTGTTTTATCTGCTAAAATTTTTAAATACCGATTTATTTTCTTTGCTTAATGAGGCCCGTGCACCTGGTAGGATTTAGTTTCCTTTTCTTGCGTTTATGTTTAAGAGGAATCTCACAACTACTTTCCTCAAAATGGATAGGGCAATTTCAATTAAGTTTGTCCTTTCTTCGATAAGAATTTACCCATAATTTGTGGTATTCGAAAATATCTCCACTACGCAGCCCGGCATTTTAAACATCAATTTAGTTCTTCCCTGTTATATATAGGAAAATATAGTAACTACTAACACAAAAACATATAAATTATTAAATTATTTTACACTACTCAATCGAAAAGTGTCAAAATAACTTGGAAGTTCGTCCCGCATTACGTCGTGCGCGGTTTGGACGAATTTTGAATCGAAAATCAGCATACCTTTAGTATGCATATCCTGACCGGTTAGTGAATTGACGTTTGAGCACATACTTTGATTTTCTGTTTGAGTCACCAGTTTCAGGTAACTGCGTCCCTAATTTAACCGATTTTTCAGGAATGTGAAGCAGAGCGGTTAGTTTTGGATTGAGTAACCTTAATATACCTAGGTCTATAGGTTCTTTCGTACGCTGTTGTTGCAGTGTCCACCAATGTAAATTACACCAGTTACACCACCTTATTTACCCTAGTTTACTTCCTCCTCATACACATGTCGAGTGTAATTCACCTCTGCTAAATAGATGGTGGAGAAAATATCCACCAGTTGACACCACATCACCGACAGGAAGGTATAGTGGGTTTTAGACCGGGCCAAACGAAAGGTTTAGTGTCCTTTGGTGTAGTTCATTCCTACACCAGTCGGACGAACGAAAGAACCTTATTTTTTCAATATTTCGATCCATATCATCGTTAATGCATTTGATACTTCAGTCAATTTGTATCTCTAGCAGGGTTTCCAGATGTTTTTTTTTTATTTATTCAGTCTTTGCCAGTTGAAAAAATAGAAAACATTTTTTTAAACAAAATACAATGCGATTTAAAATGAATATAAATAATTAATAAGTTAAACTCAAAAATAAAATAAAAGCTTTTGTCAAAAAATACCTATATAAAATATGCAAAATACTAAAGGATATCTTTCAGAATCAAAACCAGCTCTTGTTCGTTAGTTTTGTCTATATTGACATTATGGAGATTTGTAGTTTTTTTTGAAAAATCTTATTATTTTTTTTATAAAAATAAAGAACCTAATATATTTGTAAAAATTACACAATTACTTATTCTACAACTAGTCTCAGATTCATCTCACATCTATAACATATTTATTGATTGAGACAGTAAATGAACGAAGCATAAAAAGGATTGTACACTATTTATTTTACGTTATGTATGATTTATTTTTCAAAATAAAGACAAAAACAAAATAAGTCGAAAAAATAAAAAAGCAAAATATGTCTAAAATCGGTAGATCTACTGAAAAATCAGTAGATCTGGTATCACTGATCTCTAGTGAGATTTTTCTGAGAAACATTTTTCCTACGTAATTGGAAATTTGTACCAAGTAATTTTGTCTTTTTTATGTTAACTAAACTTCTTTATATAAACAAACCGTAAATATTATGAATTATCAATTATATACCTAATCATTAGTTATTATAATCGCTAATTTTCATGAATGTATTAAGTACTCATTTTATTTTGTCTAAACCATGACAATAATTTTGACAAAGTACATAATTCTACCTTGTACTGAAATAAACTTTGGCCCCACGATTACTATCGGCTGTCCTGTAGATACATTTACCCTGAGGCCATTAGCACTATTACTGGATCCTCTCCTACAAGATCATTAAACCTTTTAGACTGAATTTATTTATTTAAAAAAAAGACCAGACTGTAGTCTATTGATCACATATTTCGCTAAATGTGTGCCAAAATAGTGTTTCTAAAAATATTAACTATTTCTTTCTCATTCATCTACTACTGTACTTACTTGTACAATATCCTAATGTTGTTCTTTTTTGTTACAGTTTATAACTCTCGAAGGCCTGAATTCAGGTGTACCTACTCGAACTACCCCCACTCTCACTCCAACGACGTTACGAAACATTGAGCAAACTTTTATTGAGTTGCAGTCGAAACCAGAAAGTCATGAAAACGAAGCGGGATTCGTCCCACCTCTAGTCCATTCTATTGGTAAGTACAATAAATACAAGACATAAAATAAATTTTGTCTCAAATAAAATATTAATTTTTTGGGCTGGCTTCAAGCTGGAGTGCAAACTTCCTGGTCGGAAGGATCTTCTTCTATCGCATGAAGTACCGCGACTGATCCAAAAAAAATGTAACTGACAAAGACATAGATACGAGTAACATCCGTGATAACAACGAACTCCTCTAATTCATTAAAAAAAAATGGACTTCTGACATACGTGATTTCCATGGCCTATTGTAGAAACATTTTTGTGTTTCATTCCATATTTAGCAAAGAAAAAATTATTGTAATAGTTCTTTAATTTAAAACAATCAATGGTTGTGGAATATTGGGGTACCAGAGAAATTTTGAACTTTTGTTTATTTTTATACAAGTATCCCAAATTAACTTGTTATCTCCTTTAATTTTTGTCCACCGGGCCTAATGTAGCCGAATATTTCTATCTATAAATATTATAATGCTTTTAACCAGCAAAGAACTTGGAATGCCCGCTTTCCTCAGAGGGAAACGAATGACGCAAGGATTAAATTCTACTCTCCCCGATGGGCAACGCATAGCTCATGGACGGACCCAAAACTAAAAAAGGATTAGAATCGGGAGTATTCGGTAAAGAGCCAAACTTTGACATATCCATTAAACTGTACCCTTTAGCGTAAGTGATCGCCAGAAAGTTGATAAAATCTTCTTCTAGCTAATAAAACTGTGAAGACCTTTTCGGATAGCCAGGCAGCTTTTAAATCTCTGAGCTCAAATCTAGTTGATTCAGAGCTGGTTTGCAAGTGTATAAATATTATCCAGTTCCTCGGTCCCCGAACAAATTTACTTTGATTTGGGCGAGATACCTCAGTGTGGAATACAATGAAAAATCCACCGCGATCGCTAAAAGAAAAATTGAATCTGAATTCATAGGTGCAGAACCATTCTTTGATATTGCAAAGAGCAACGTTAAAGGAATTATCTCATACTGGAAAGAGGGCGAAACACTTATGTACTAGATATATATCTCAGGACTAACTCAAGGAACGATCTTCGTATTCATACGGGTCAAGACACTGTAGTCTAGGTATCTACATGAAAAAGATAGGTCTGCAACAAACATTGTCGATTCTGCAGCGTGAAAGATGAATCTACAAAGCATTCTATGTCATCCGCCTTGGAAAAATCTACGTTCCAGATCTTTGACTTTAAACATGTCTCACCCAACTCAGCACTCAACCCGTGCCTTCATCAAAAGGTATGATTTGTACGGTGAATTATTACTTTGGCATGAGCAGTGACAAATTGGGCCGTCGGTCTAAAGACCGGTAGGCCCTGGTCCAGGCAGTGGGCCCTCGAGAAGAACGAAGAACTAAATACGAAGGAAATCCGTAATGTGTAGCAATCTCGGAAGAAAGCATCAGTGTGTAAAATATCAAATTTATTACATTAACTGATGACAGTTTAGTGAATCTCAAGTACAAGATGATTAGTACATTAACACTCCAATAACCATCTACGTACACAACTCCGGCAGAACATATCGCATTATCTTTGAAAAATTACTACAACTTAATTAATTCTAAACCCAGGCATCATCTACCTTAAAGTTTCTGCTTGTGAGTTTATCCATGGATTGTGTACAGCTGAGCAAATATTAGATAAGCACACGTAAATGTTCCATTATCATCCAGTGATCACTGTTCTCCATAATAGTTTCCATAAAAAGTAATTTCGCTGGAAAAAGCAAAATTCGTTCGCCATTATTGCCTATTGGTTTATTATTTCAGAATAACAAGTTTGGTTAAATTTCTAGGCTTAGCCAAAATAGCTTCTTTTTTTAATAAGTGTGTTGAATAGTTCGCTTTAGGGATGAAATGGAAGCTAATTGCTCAGTTGCACCCAAATAAACTTCTTCTAAAACAGTAGCTAATATTATACCTTGTATTAATTCAACTTGTTGATCCATTTTTTTATACCATTACCTTTCTTTGCTTACACTCTTATACTTTGGCTGAATCTGCAATTTGGTTGTGGCTTGTACTTTTTACTGATTCATCTCCCACAGTTTGAACTTGTTTTCTTCGGCATTAAAAGATTATAATAAAAATATCAATATTAAAGTCTTATTAACAGGTAACAGAATTCTTCTGCACATAGATTTACAATTAGTAACCAACTTATTGGTAATAACAAATAAGGCGTTATGTCCCTAAGGACATTCTTTGAAAAGTTACTTGCAATATAGAGATTTTCAAAACAAACTTGTTTGCTTTGATTTTAATGCTAAGAAATAGCTACGCGATTAATTGTCCACAGCCTTTTTTTCGTCGGCGTTTTTTTTTTCACCGGCGACGTTTTGCCGCCTATTTGAGCGCGGCATTTTTTCGCGACATCGTTTCAAATTAGTCGCAATAAAATCCTTCAAAGTGAAAGGAATTTTTCAGCGTTTTATTTTTCGGAATGAATTACGTTTTTCATTGTTTAGATACATATCTATAACTTGCTTGTTTGATTGTATGTGCCACCTAGCGACTATTAATAACAATAACCGAGTCGAATCAACGAAACAAAATATTGGCCAAGGAATAAATCTGCAATCAGACAAAAGTTGTCGCAAACGTTGATGGCGTCTTAAATTATTGCTGTCAGTTGTCATCATATAAGTCATTCGTCGACTTGCTCATGGGTTCACAAAGCTACGATCGACTTCATCGAAGACAGAAATAGGTGAAGCCGCCAAGGTCTTATGCGCAGTGAATAGAAGTGGGGATATCTCACTTCGTTCCGTTTTGTGAAACGTGTCTTAACGTTTGTGCATCTCGCAGATTTGTTATTCCTGTCATCTGTAGACTTTTTTTATCAAGTTCTATATATATGTTACGGGCAGTGTTGTAAATTGGGCACTGACGATATTGACCGGACACTAACGTCAGCAGAATGCCCAATCAAATGGGAGATTTACGAAAATGACCGGTCAATATCGTTAAAGACTGAAATATCATCTTTGACCGTAACATATACATTTTGAAAAATACTTCCTAACAACACTACTTGCAAGTTATTTAGGGATGCCACATGTACGGGTTTCACCCGGACCGTCCTGGTTTAATAACAATACAGACTGAGGACCTTTTTTTTGAAGCTCGACAGAAGGTCCTGATTATAAAAAAAACAAAGGTCCGAGTTTTGAGAAATGAAAAGGTGGCAACCCTAAAGTTAATCCAGATCATTACATTCTTTAAACCGCACTATGGTTTCTAGAAAGGAATTTTTTGGCCAAAAGTCAAAACAAGATTTAAAAAAACAAATTATGATCTCAACTGTTTTTAATGGAGTATATTAACACTATAAAACTCATTTTGAGCCATTTAGAACAAGAATTAAAATAATAAATATCTTTTTTCTCAAAATATATTTGATAGTTTAAATAAAAAGTAAAATCACATTTCCATATCTAACTCAAGTGAGTCCAAATGATCAGGCATTATTTATTCCAAAATTGTTTCTTCCCCTTCGTCTTTGTCATAATCATCTTCTAAATTTTCTTCATGTTCCAAAGTTTGTGGTTGTTGTTCCAAAAGCATTTCTGTAACTTCAGCTGGAAACTTAAACTTTTGTTGTTTATTTATTCGTTTTTGTAAATTTATACTTGAAATAATGGGATCTGAGGTGTCCATAGCTCGATGAAAAACATCTTCGAGATTATTTTGTCGGCTTGTTTTCCTAGCGTGAAATTGTCGATCATATTTGTAAAGTTTATTTCTTGCTTCAGATCCCTCTTCCCCGAAATATCCCACGGGCAATATGGTATTCTCCATTATCTGTCTCCCATGTACTAAAACTTTGTGAATGGTTGCAGGCATAGGATACCAGGAATATTTTTTCATGTATAGTCTGGCAGTTTCATCTAGTTGGTACTGGCAAGACAAACAAATTAGGATGATTTTAAATTTTTTTATTAGAGTTTCATCAACATCTGTTATTTCCGAAAACAATTTGGTGTTGCTAAAGGCTCTACGAGCAGTATTGCCGTCATTTGTGCTACCAAATCCACTTGATTTTGGTTTATCTACATGTAGATGTAAAAGGGATAAGAATCGTTCTTGAATATTTTTTTTTCTGTTGGCAAATCTTTCTTTATTTTCGGTACCTCTAACTTGCCATTCACATAAATTATGCCTGTAGGATATGTGTAGTATGCACTCGAAAAAACGAATCCAAGCATGTAATGGGCTTATTCCATATTGTAAAGTATTTGGTTTTGGGTTAAAGATATTAGTTGTTTTGAGGTTCTCAACTTTTAAAAAACTTCGGGGAGTAGCACCACATATTGGACAAGTTTGACTTGACTTTGTACCAGTTAAAGTATTAAGTACCTTTCCATCAATTAAAGTCATAAAAAGAATACATTTAATATTTATTAGCTTATTTTCAGGCAATAGTAATTTTAGTTCTTTTAGTTTTTCAATCTGCAAGTCAATATTTTTTTTCTCTTTTAATATATGTTCTGATGATTCTTTAGTATACTCTAACTTAAGTGGTCTACAGAACCGAACAGACTGAGGAGTTCTATTGTTCCACAAAATAACATTATTTTTCGACTGCAAACGAAGAGGTATACAAGTCGTTGCAAATAAAGACTCATCGGACTGAGTACCTGAAGTACTGAATTTCTGTTTGTAAGCTGATTGGCCACTACTTCCATCGAAGCCATAACTAAATATTATTTCTGCACTAATTTCATTCAGCTTAATCATTTTCATGTACTGCACAATGGCCTCTTCTTGTAAAAATACAATTCTTTTTGTAGTATGTTCTAGAAGATTTGATAAAGGAACTTCTGCTACAATATCAGAAACAATAATACCGGTTGGTCTACATTTAGGTTTACATTTCCACACTTCATTATAATTTGGGTACATATCAGATTTTCTTGAAAGAGCTCCGTGTCTGATGTTTAAATACTGCTGTTTACTAAAATTGTTATCTAGAATAAATTCTA